CAAAGTGATTTTGGTTTGTATGTTGAAAAAATACAAAAGACTAACATTCGAAGTTATTGAAATTCTTGAGTAAGAACAATCAGTTTTGGAATGTTAAAAGCAAAGCAATGGATATTAAAACGAAAATGTTAAAATTAAATGTTGAAATTGTTAAAAATGTAAAATGGTTAAAATGGTTAAAATTGTTGAAATTGTTAAAAATGTTAAAATTGTTAAAAATTGTAAAAAGGGTAATTAAAAATATCCAGTGTACCGGGGTTCGAACTCGCAATGTCTGGACTTGCAGTTCTGCGCGTTACCAACCGAGCTATCTGGACGCGTTTCCATTACTCTCTGCATTGTATGTCATATAAAGTGAACAACATGGCGGTAACGATCGCTTCAAGTACTAGTAAGGGACTTTCTAGGAGATTTCCTTCTTTATCAGGTTCGCTTTTGAACCACCGGTACCTTGATGTAACGTAACTATCAATCCGGCTAGCAGAAGCCGCCGGCTCCCTGTCCAACCTTTGAAAACTGTCGGGCATGCAAGCCCTCAACGCTCGCTTTAGGAAAATTTGCCAGGAAGCCGTCTTGCGATGTTCTCAGCAACAACAAATGAACGCCTGTACACTCTACAATTTTGGTGATTCTTCGGAAATCGATAACAGAATATATAATACTAGTCGGTGAAGATTGTGGAAAATTGTTGATACCGTGGCGCGCGCGCGTGCGCCGACGATACACATTACGTACCGTTGTTTACAGTACTCGCGGGGCGAAGGTCATTGACCTCCCGCTTGCGTTGTTCCAACAGAGAAGAGCAAAATATCTGCCAGTTTTTGCGTCAGATTTTCAGTGTTTGTTAAAATCATATACAGGCATCCATGCAGCTATAATTCTTCCAACTAGTTCGTAGTTAGGTGAAATGTTTATAGGAATCACACGAATCGGTATCCAATATCAGAGTATCAAATATGATGGCCCACGGCCGAGACCGCGTGGACCAGCCGATGGCCCACGGCCGAGACCGCGTTGACCAGCCGCGCTGGTAATCCCCCTATTGTACGTGAAAATGGTAGTAAATAAATTAATTAGCCAACAGACCAATCAACAGCCACATCTG